TTGTTAGTGCGCAGAAGGCAGTTTCATAGACTAAATTTTGAGTTATGAGCGATTTTTGACAAAACGAACGTTTGTTTAGAATTTCCCTGATCGTGCAACGTTACACCTGATTTCGAAATCTGATTGGCTAGTGAAATTTTTTAGACTGGTATTTTAAATACAGTTTTTTTTCTTATTGATTCACATAGTAATGAAAAATCCGTGTAACATGGTTTAGTGAACAACCAATAAAAATAAATTTTATCTAACGCTCAGGACGATATATTGGTGTTACATCCTTCAATGAAGACTACGGTTTTAAGTAAATTTTGCATGACGAGTTGAAATAAGAACAATGACGACTCACCACCGCCAGACATCAGTTCATGAAGTTAAGGAAACTCTTGACGCTACGGTGACTGAAAACAAAGAAGGCGAACGTTGTCTAAACAACTATGTTTTGAAAGAAGTCATTGGACAGGGAGCTTATGGAACGGTCAATTTAGCTGTAGATAAGCTCACTGGAAATAAATATGTAAGCTATTGAATGTCGTAATAATTTGGCTCTTAATTTACGGTGATTTAGAATCGGAAGTTAAAAAATTTTTATTTACATGAAAATTTTTCGATTAACATATCGTTTTTCTCGCGATAAGTTTTCTATACAAAACTAACCATATAATTACTTTTATTCAACACATTTCTGAAAAAAAAAAGGCTATTAAAGAATTCAGTAAAACTCGACTTCGTAAAAAAACTAACTATTTCCGTCGTCCGCGTGGACGTTTTGGCAAAGCTATGGAAAATTATGATCTATCATCATCGGACCCTCTTTATTTGATCCGTGGTGAAGTTGCTGTCTTGAAAAAATTAAATCATCCAAATGTGATCAAATTGTTCGAAGTGTTGGATGATGAACAGGATTCTTTATATATGGGTAAGAATTTTTTTCTCTCCCTTCTCTTCTCTTTTTTTTTGTGTTTATTATGATTGTGAAATTTGAACTGTTATCGGTTAAATTAGACTTATGATAATTATAATTCCTTTAGTTTTGGAAGTGTGTGAAGAAGGTGTTCTTATGGATATCAGCATTCAGAAGGTAACAACGCCATATTCCAATGAAAAAGCTCGACGTTATTTTAGAGAAATGATACTTGGCTTTGAATATTGTAAGTAACATCATTTAATACGTCACACGTAGTGATGCTAATAGTCTGGTTTTAGGCTGCCGAACCATGGTCAGTCATAGGATTGGTCTAGTCTCAATCCTAAGGTTTCTTGATTGGTCCATTAGATCCTAAGACTATAAACATAAAAACCAGATTGTTAACATCCTTAGCCATACTTGTGATCGAACTTTCAGGTCTAATTTCATGACTTATATTCAATTTATTTCTGTTTTATACTTAACGATTAAATAGTACATGAGCATGACATTGTTCATCGAGGTATTAAATATAATTATTATAAAGAGTTTTATGATACAAATTGTGGATAGTTTATGTGGATTTATTTATTCAATTGATTTTATTCAGATATCAAGCCCGATAATCTCCTTTTGTCTGCTGAAGGTGTTCTCAAGATTGTAGATTTTGGTGTGTCTGAGATGTTTACTGAAGGGAATGATAAAATGAAAAAATCGGCTGGTAGTCCAGCTTTTATGGCACCGGTAATGTCATTTTAACTATGGAAGTATTAACTAAACCATATTTCTTCTCAAAAATTAATAATTATATTCTGTTTTATATACTTATTTGCAGGAATTGTGCGTGGGTAAACAATAATAAAGATCTGTTTACATATTCATCATAGCAAAATTTCATCTTGTCTAACTGCTTGCAATTATTTTAGCCAATCGTGGAGAGATTTCTGGAAAGGCTGCTGATCTTTGGTCTATGGGCGTGACTTTGTATTGTCTTGCTTTTGGACGTTTGCCTTTCGTGAAAGATAACATAGTTGACTTATATGAATCGATAAGAAATGACGAGTTAGTTTTGTTTATCTTAAAAATATTGTTAACCTTAGTTGAATATTAAATTGAATTATTTTTTTTTTATTGACGTATTATAGTATTACTTTTCCAGAAGGTTCGAATCCCGACCCTGACCTTATGGACCTTCTTCATAAAATTCTTGAAAAAGATCCTGAGAAAAGAATTATTATGTCTAAACTCAGAGTTAGTTAAATTCTATGTTTCTTTAGTTGTGTCTATATATTATAGTGACTTTTTTTTTTGTATATCAAAAGGAGCATCCATGGGTAAATAATCACGGAAAAGATCCTCTCATATCAACTAAAGAAAATTGCAGTGAACTTGTCACCGAAATTACGGTTGATGACTTGAACTCTGCAATTAAACTCTTAAGTTTTAGAAGCATTGTTGTTGTGGTATGCTAAACATTTCATTTAGTTAAACAAACAAAATCTTGTATGCAATTTATTTAGTAACTTTACATTTTGTAGCATCGTGCTGTTCAACAATTCAAAAGACTGTCAAAGTCGCATCATTATTCGGCAGAAGAAATGGATAAATTGAAAATGGATGTACAGGATGCCGATGAAAAGAAAGAAATGGAAGTAAATGAACCTATTGCTATTATTACGGAAAGTACATAGTTGCTGTAGAGCAAAAAAAAATTATTTTGTGTATTTTGTTAAATGCAAAACTTTAATGTCTACGCTTATTTGTTTTCGGTGAAAGTATATGCGTTCAGTTCTTTGGCGGGATATTATATCATGCGCTGAATCATTAGTTTTTGGTAAATTATTGCATTGACGATTTTGGTAAATTATTCATGAGGTTGTTTTTTATGGTCGACGTTTTACATATCTTAATCTTATTTGTAAAGTATTTTTCGCAGTTATGTCACATCAAGTAATTTTTATTAGTGAATGAAACTTAACAAGTAGATTAAATTGTTATATTTCCTTTATAATGCAAAATAATTAATATAAAATGTGCTATATAGTTATAATCATACAAAAATTAATTTTTTGGTTCTTGATGATTGGGTCAAATTGATAAGGATTAGAATCACAAAAAAACGTGTTGGCGTCACATAAGTGTAAATTTCATGATCACGATTAGTCACGATTTATAATCGCTTAACCGTTTAATCGCGTTTATTAATCATTTAATAATCATAATCATTTAACCGGCTTAACTATTTATTAATATCGTTTAAAATCAAACAATCGTTTAACCATTTAGTACGTATCCGTTTATTAATAATCATTTAATAACCATATAATCGTTTAACCGCTTAAATATTTATTAATTGTTCAATAACGATAGTCAATTCGTGATTTGAAAATTAGTGGACACGTGATTAATTTTGTGATGATCATCGGATGTAGTTTTCGATAACACTAAGTTCGGCTTAAGCACCAATTGTGGAACACTGTTTTATAGCCTTTCAAAATTTCAGAAATCAACCGTGCTTTTTCCCCGCACCCTAGATACGATTATTGGTTATAGTTTTATAAAATTTAATTTCGCTTGGCGACCAATTCTGGTTGGTTAAAAAAAGGTATTAGAATATTAACTAACATATGTTAAATGACCTTCTAAGGTCATTTTGGCCTTGAAATGGGGGACGTCTAAAGCGGAGTCAAATTCACGTGACCTTATATTTAATAATTTTCTCGACTAACTTTAGGGTGAGGGCCATCCTAT